GTGCTGTGGCTGCTCCTCATGGTTCCCGTGCACTGGGGCCCGAGTGTGCCACCGAGCAGCAGCGCCAGCTCTGAGCACCAGGAATCCCTGCTCCAGTTCAGGCCGGGGGGTCTCTTGCACTAATGGGGTTGTCCAGGTTCTTCCCATCACCTGTTTCATCTCACTCACCTGGGAGACTTTTCCAGCGCAGAGAACAGCAGCAGCCTGAAGCCATGGGATCTTCCTGCCCAGCATGGGAGCTGGACTCCCGGAAGACTTGAGCACGGGGTGTCTGTCCTGGAGGCTCAGGACAGGGAGGGGGAGCTCGAGACGGGCTCGTGCCAGCAGGCTGACATTCTGCGTCTGCTGAGGAGTCTTTCCTACCAGCACTTTCTCTCGGTCTCCAGCCCAGGCCCCGTTCAAACCAGCCCTGAAGCCCGCACATCTGGGGCAGGGTGCTGAGGTTACAAAGGGACAGCTTTTGCCTCTGCCTGGTCACAGCCATCTCCACTTCCTGTCCCCAGGGAGGAGCTTAGGGGAGCCCCCCACCCTCGTGTGTTAGTCTATCAGTGCTGATCAATGCAAGCCAAAGAGGCAGGGGGAGGGGAGCAGAATGTGTCCTTGTGGGAATGTGGAGCCCGACCACCATCCTGAGCCCAAGAAGAGAGACAGAGACCCTCACCTGGGCCACAGGGCCACATGCTGCCAGGAGGAGGCTTCCTCCAATGGCTGCTCTGGGAAGAAAAGGGAAAACCAATTCTTTAGCCAGGACTGAACATGCATTTGATTCCACAAAGGGTCCAAGTGAAAAAAAAAAGAATCCTCATAGTGTTGCTGCTGTCTTCTGTCCAGCTGTCTCCACATCCTCCCCCCAGGAGCCTGAGTCTCTGATAGGAGCCACTCTTGCCCTACAGAAATCTTTCAGTGACAGCCAGGTATGGTGGCACACACCTGCAACACACACCCTGTGGGAGGCTGAGGCAGGAGAACTGCAAACTGAAACCCAATGTGAGCATTTGAGTGACTTAGTGGGACTTTATCTGAGAATTAAAACTGTAAAAAAGGTCTGGGAATGTAGCTCAGTGTGACGACCCTGGGTTTATTCCACAGTAGCATCCAAAGGGGGGGAATAAAGGAAGGGGAAAGCCCTTACTATTATGGACTGGCTGACCAGGTTCCAGCCCTAGCCCACAGGGCCGGCTCCACGCCTGGGCTGCACTGAGACGGCAACTGAGACTGGGCATGGTGGTGTGTGCCTGTAATCCCAGCACTTGGGAGGAGAATCACTATGCGTCCGATCTGGGTAGCGATACCTTATAGACTCTGTACTAAATACATTTTTTAAAAAATGTAGACTGGAGAGAGGTCTCACAATTAGATATGAAATCTCCAAGACCTCCCCACTTCCCTCATGCCCTCTGGTCCTTAGCAAGAGTAGGTTCAATAAGAAAATGGTAAATTCAAAATTCTTGAAAATCTCCCAGTACCCAAATGCTTTGCCTTGAGACTTCGTTTCAAGTTGGAAGGAGAGAGGCTGAAAATTGCAAGGCACGGCGGCCAGGCTTTGTGTAAACATCCATTTCCTAGCTGTAGCAGCAGCAGCCCAGGCGGCCAGACGCCCTGTGCCCCAGGGCTGGCAGGTGAAGCACAACCGCCTCTGCCCTCATCTTCTCCTCCCTTGCAAGTCAAGACCAAGAGAAGGAGGTCAGTGCACCCCTAGCGGGCAGGCAGGTACCTCACTTGGAGCTGGCCTGCATGCAAGACATTCAAGTGCTGATCCCCAGAGACAGGGATCTTTGTAACTGGCACAGAGAATTTCTCCCAGCTGAAGGTGGTCTCATGTCAAAGGGGACAAGCTCTGCTGGTCTGCTGTCCAGACAGCACACCTAGATTGTAAACTCAGTCCCCATAAAAAGTTAGAAGGGCCGGGGAGATAGCTCAGTAGAATAAGTACATGCCTGGCAAGCGCAAGGTCCTGAGTTCAATCCCTGGTTCTGCCAAAAAAAAAAAGTTAGAGGGACAAAGTGTAATGACCGGAAGACGCTTACTTTATTTGTAAAGATTAAATTTAGGGGACAAGAAGAAAAGACAGATATCTTCCCTGAGAACAAAGAATCTGGTATGGGGCTCTGGAACGATGGAGGATCTGTGGGCCTTTTGTTCCTGACTGTATTTACAGGGAACTCAGAGACCCTCCCACCACTGAACTCGCCTTACTTGGATTGGCTCCCAGACACCTTTGCCTAATATTTTTCCAGTGGGCTACATGCAGCTTGTCTCTGTTTCCTTGTCCTTGACCTACGTGTTAAGGCCTTATCTTTGGGGTGAACAGCTAGTTGGCAAGGCAGTCCCTTTTCCATGGTTAGCTTAGGTTAGGAAGGGGGTGTGTGCTTATCTATTGTGCACTCTAATGCCCCGAGTGTGAGTAATACCCTGACTCTACAGTGAACGCACGTGGATATGTGTGTGTTGGTGCCGGAGTGCAAGAACCCGCGGCCTTAGTCAGAGCCCTGTGTTCTCAAGGCTGGGGCATCTCATCGTTTGTGCTCCTAGGTTTTTCCTTGGAACCAGCCAAATATGGACTAAAACCTCCAGTAACTGTGAGCTAAATGGGTCTGTCAGCCCATTTTTTGGTCTCCTGGTGGAAGTCTCAAGGCCTGGTTGCCTTTACCTGGTTTTTCTCTCTTTGTCTACCATTTTTGACCTATTTCCCAGGGGAATTTTTCTAGTACAGTTTGCTCTTATTTAACTCTTTCCAGTGAAGATTAGCTAGAAGGCCTAATGAGGTGCCTATTCTAATTTTTCCCGTCTTCGGATCCCTAACCCTACACTGAAAGTCCCTGCTCAAGCTGCCAGCAGCTTTGGGGTTTCTGTGCCCAAGATGGCACATCCAACATCACAGCTGGGCTTGGCTTGCCCTGGAAGAAGGACAGGGCTGGTGCCAGGACAAAGATTCCAGAGTCTGCACCACTCACACCATAGGAGCCAGCCGACAGCTCTCCATCTGCAACGTCCCTGGCAGGCAACTTTCCTGGCCCGCAGCCTGCATCATGGTGCATGTCTGCCTCCCAGAGCACCCTGCCTGCCTCTGCCTCCATCACTCACTGTTGTGGTTTGTGTGTATTTGTCCCTCTTCGCCCCCCCCCCCCAAGCCTCATGCAGTTGTTGCAGTGCAGTTCTACAGTTTGCGATTAATTCATGATCCAAGGCTGGGATTATGGGTCTGAGCACTTCTGGGATTATGGGTCTGAGCACTGCTTGGATTATGGGTGTGAGTGCTATACCCAGCCTGGGGAGGATAGACTGAATATAACATAAGAGAGACAGAGAGACAGACTTGCTCTCTGTTGCCACTGTTGCTGCTATTCCTCCCCTCCGCTCTTCCTTTTTGCCACCACCAGGAACTGCTGCCCTCTGCCATGTGCAGCTCTGCCTTGGAGCCAGCTGAGTATGGACTAAAACCTCCAGTAACTGAGCTAAATAAACTATTCCTTTCTTCATTTTGAGTGTCAAATATTTGTCCCAGCAATGAGA